TCCAGCGGTTCCTCACCCCCTCGCATTTCCCAGGCATGTTGCTGTATGCTGGGGGCAGTGCCGAAGCTGCAGGCTGTATGCCCACTTGACAACAGGCTCGTTCTTGAAAGTGAATGCAGGGGGTAGTGGATGTAAGGTGATCTTAGCCCAGTGCTAGGATCGGCAATTCTCAAGCTGCTGTTCCTGTTTTCCTGGCCCTGACGGGTAACAAAATCTTCTTGTCAGTGTCACCAGTGAGGAATTGCCATAATAACCCCTGGATCTGTGTGGTCTGTGTTTTACCTCAGACACAGAGTAGATATCTTAACCTGTATATGTCCCTTGAAAAAAAGAGAGCATCCCTTTAAAAGTAAGAAGGAGAGCTTCTAAATTTTATTTCTTTTTTACTTACTGTGTCTACAGCTTTCTCTCCTCTGACAGCTTTTGGTGTAACTTGTTCAAGCTGAGACTGGGTGCAAGGAACAGCTGGAGCATGTTTAATGCAATGTTTCCTCACAAAACTGCCTTCTCCTGGGAGAAACAAGGGCAGATAAAGCCTAGGAACTGCAGCTGGAGAGAGGCGGTCAGCATTTCTTTCACAGGCCCTGGTCAAAAAAAAGACAGACACAAGCATCTGTCCAAATGGACAATGAGTAGGTCTTTAATGCTAGGAGCATTGGTTCATATGTGGCTGCTTTCCTATACACCTTCTAGGCAATGACACATGGAAGCATAGTGCTAATGAATTTAGGAGCAAAGCAGGTGTCTGGAATAAGTAACCAAAGAAAAACAAACCCATACCTATGGCTCAGGCCACATCTAAACCCATGGTTTTTCTCATCTAACCCCAGGCCCAAAACAGAGATGGCAAAACAGTCACAGGGGGGTACATGTGGTAGCAAAAGGGCTATGCTGTAAAGAAAGTTCAACACTGTTCTTAGAACAATGCGTTGGCTAATTATCTTCATTTCAGCAAGGCTTTTACGCACTCAGGAAAGGGTAGAGCCACGTAGCTCTCAGCCATCTACTAACTTCAGTCTTTGGAGACAACCTCATTCAAAGGCGGAGCAAGCCACATGATAGGTGAAAAAACTAGGCATGAAAAGTCAGTTAAATTCATTAATTAAAAGGTGTCTCTGAGCGAGCTGCATGAAATGAAGATCTCACAAGTACCTTTTTGAGCAAAGTAACATAAAACCCAAGAGATGGACAAATCAAAAAAGCTAAAAAACCAGTTTTGATAAGCAAACCTCTGTATACTAGAGAGGGCTGATAATATAGCAGGCAGGTTTGAGGAACTCAACTGATTTCTCCACCCTCCGCAGCAATTCCTCAAAAACCCTGGGCAAGTCACCAGCTTGGATTCATCCCCAGCTAACTCTAGATGTTAAAAACAGGATGGTACCTAAATTTAGGTCTGTCAACACCTTAGGCTCCTTTTCAAAGTCTAGAGGGCAATTCAGACACCAGGTGAGCTAAGATGTTCATCTAAGTTAGAAACTGTCGCAGAGTATCTACTGTTAGTCTGGATGCGTACTGACTTCCTTGCTTCAGTTCCCAACTCTGGGCATTGGGATGGCATCGTTGATTCTTTGCCAAGACTATGGGAAAGTGGCATTTACTAAAGAACATGAAACTCTGAAATGCACTGTTGATAGGAGCAAGATGATCAGTCAGAGCTGTGCACTGCTCTCAGTGATTTAGCTTTGGAAGATTTTCTAATTGGATGCATTGGGTTTGACTTCGTCGCAAGCCAGACTTGCCAAGAAGTAAACAAACCTGATAAAGCACATTTTTCACTAACTGTTATTTGCAAATAAGTATTCTGTCATATGCTACTGTATTACTAGAAAAGGTTGCATACAGAACCAGATCTGGTTTGCTATAAGTGACACTTTCTGTTCCATATTTTCCTTTTCTTCACCAAACCCTTCTGTTGCAGCCTTTAGAGAAACTAATCTCTTGTATTTATTGATGGTAATCTTTATTAAACTCTTACCTGCTCGACCCATTCTTAAAAGGGATTTTACATGTAATTGACACACATAACCTTTTACCATCTTTTCACACTTCTAGAAGATGTAGTTCATATTGCTTGTATTTGGAACTTAACTGATGGAATGGAGCTGAAGACCATGCAGAAATACCTTTTTTTTTTTTTTTTCCAAACAAACTTGGAGTCCAAGCATAGCTATGAGAATATACCACAGTCCCATGCGATCAGACTATCCAGCTCAGCATTTTGTGGCTGAGGGGGCTGATGGTGGATGTGTCTGCAAGAGCACAGGGATAAGACAGAGAGCTCCTTCCCTGGAATATTTCCCCAGGCTTCAGCAATTTCAGATTTTCTGGGCCAGAAGTGAGGTTTTTGCCTTATAACTTCTACTAATATTGCCAGTGACGTGAGAAAAACTCAGGTCAATTAAGAAATTAAATCCAAGTTAAGCACCACAGGAGAAACTGTCTATAATGGCAAAGGGCTAGGGAACTAAATCCTTCAGGGTGTCTGCGTGCAGGATCCTGAGCTACCATGGCCAAAATAACGATCTGCCTGAGCTTGCTGGTGAGGGTACCACGCAGGGCACTCCCTTGGCAGTACAGGTGACCCATGCAAGGCCTGGGAGGGAGAGCTCCCGTCGCCTGCTCTGTGTTACACCCACAGAGCTTAAACTTTTGCCTTGCTCCTGATCCTCCACTTGTGGCTCCTGCACAAGAGCAAACGCAGAGTAAAAGAAGGGAACAGGAAAATCTGCTATTGCCAGCTGGAATGGGGGACAGCTAGGCACCTCCAGCACCCCTGCGGCTTGCTGCAGTGGGAAGGAGACACTCTGTCTCCCACGACAGCCAGGCAGAGATGGGCAGTAAAAGAAAGGGAGAAGTTCCTGTTAACTCTCACCTAAAAGTTAGGTGGATTCTTTATTCCCAGATGATTTAAGCCTTTTCCCTTTTCCCAACTGATGTTTCCCCTCATTTACAAATTGGCTTGGCTTCCAGCGAAATGTTTCCCTGATGCTTCCAGTTCTTTGTTGTGGAAAGTACAAGCGGAGGGAAGGTTTCACAACAGTACCTCTGGAACCTGAGTCTTTGCAAACTGTCCTTCTTCTGTTTCTGGTAATAACAATTTTAGCCCTGGGAGAAACTGTGAACTTTGCTCAGTGAAGCTGATTTTCTCCTCTATTTAAGGTCTAAGCTGGGTTTGATTTCTGTGTTTTAAATGGTATCTAGTCACTGCCACCTGGTGCCAGGACATGCACAGCCTGCAAGAGCTTTCTTTCCTCATCTGATGGTGGCTCTTCTGTGACAAGGATCATATAGCTGCCACCTTCCTCCCTAGTTTAACCAGAGGCTTGTATGTGGAGTGAATTTTGGAAGGAAAATGACCGCTGGTGTTATTGGGCTGGGGAGACCATTGTAGGCTGGGTACTGACAGGTGGTAACATAATTTCCAAGAAGCCTAAACTAGTTACTTCTTTAATTTGGGTGTTATGTAAACATAATCTCCCCCCATCCTCTTGTGTAAGAAGGGGAACATAAGGACTGGATGGCCCCTAAGAGGAAAGTAAGGTGCAAGAGGGGTAGCGAGGGAAGGGACAAATTATGCAATGTTCACTTAATTGAGAATTGTGTTTCAAATCTGCAGAAAACAGCATGTTGCTCCCCTTGTTCCTTAGACAGAAAGGCACAGTTTTACAATCTCCTTTTATTGTTTTGCTGATAAGCTGGCATTTCACATTTCTGACACTATACCAAATGTCCTTTAGAAAACTCAGTCAGTGCCATGGCCTTTTCCAGCTGGAACACTAAAACCAGAGCCTGGCTGGCCAGCTAAGTTTTCACCCCATCACGCAGCACCTCAGCTGCAGCTGGCCAAGGTACTCCAGCTAGAAGGGGAAGGAGCCCGCTGCAGGAGCAGTCAGCCTCAACGCCTGCTTCCACCCTCACCAACAGGCAGCCATGCAACCCCAGCGCAAACTTCCCGGCCCTTGGGGCAAGGCAGCTTGGCTTGCGCCGGGACGACTTGTTGAGTACATGACTTTGTGCAATCGCCCACGACTTTGTATTTCTACTCTGCAAACACTGACTGCTAGCCAAAGTTTAGTCCTGTTCTGCTTATTTTATAAGACCTCTACTATGACCCACACTGTTACACACTCCTGCTATAAACAGCTACAGAGTGAGCAAATCTTCCTTCTTTGGCAAACCTCCCAAAGGGTATTTCTGCATGGCACAGACCTGCCCGCTACCTCCCAGTGTCCAAGGAAGGGTCAGGGGGTTACCCCTTCCCGGGGAAACTCACCTTCTGGCCTGGCAATCCCCACAGCCTGAAATGACCCACCCAGGCCACTGGCAACCGAACATAAATTTGTTGTTGCATTACTTGAATAAGCAACAGGAATAGCTTGATTCTGGTTAGTCTCAAGATCTGTAAGTAGAGCTATCAGAAATCGCTGAATCAGAGGATATGGATCTCTGACAACAATAATATTTGTGAATCCTTACCAAAAATTGCTGAAGATGTTTTTGTTTTTTCAGTGGGGAAAAAAAAAAAAAAAGCACCTTCAGAGGTCCCTGCACTATGTTTGTGCTTTGTTACTCAAAGGAAACATGCATGACATTTTTGCCAGCTAACAAAACACCTTCTAACAAGGCGTTTTGACAAAGCTGAAAATATCTTACATTTATGTGAGTCATTTTGGCTTCAAATGCACATCTTCGAAAAAGGAATCTCAGAAAAATATCTCTTTTAAGTAAGTGCTGGCATGAAATACAGTCCTTAGGTGACCAGCCTGGAAAGACTATGTGTATTTGTATTCTATACAGAAATGATAACTATCTTTCAACCAAACCAACTCCTTTGTGTTTCTTTTTTTTTTTTTTTTAACCACCAAGAAGCGAAGAAAAAAAAAAAAAAAAAAAA